GCTTTGCACGGAAAAATGCGTCAATGACGTCACACTGATCTTTTGGCAAAGACCGCTGCCTTGTCACGCAGTATTTGGCTCCAGGAACCAGGTCAATCTCATGACACACGCCTCTATCTGGAGGCAAACCCACCGGCGGGTTTCTCGAGACCACGTCGCCATACTCCTTCACCGCCGCGTAGAAGGGATCGGAAGGATCTTCGATCCACTCCTCGTGCTTAGCGCGTTCTTGGTGTCATCCAGGACTGCGTCGTCCACAACGGACGAGGAGTTCAACTCCTCCTCAGGTATTATCAAGGCCACTTCTGCTAAGCCGCCTGCCTTCAAGGCCTCGCCAAACTCCGTGACGGACATCTCGACAAGCTCCATCAGAGCATTCACAGCGGACAGAAAGTCAAGGCTGATGTCGCATTCGACCATCCCCGCCACTCCGTTCGCGAGTGTGTACAGCTGTTCACAGCAATCACGTGGCTCCTCGCTGCTCGTCACGTTGGACACTTCGCCCGACGCCAAAGACGTCACAGACGCCCTGCGTCTTCTTCTCCGCTCCCTCCGCGACCGAGCTCGGTCGGACGAGGGCAGTGCAGTGACATCTCCGTCACCAACGCCGGGTGCAGCAGCACCAACGCTCCTCGAAGAGGAAACAGTGTCTCGCGAGACACTCGGCCCAAAGCCGTGCGATCCATGACCCTCACTCAGTGAACTAGGTGTCACTACACCTGCATCTTCTAGGCCTCGCCCACAAAGCCTCGACTCGCAGTCGACCGCGGCTCTCAAGCCACGCAGCGATAGGTCCTCGACCGGATCCATACCACCCAGTGGGTTACGCCGCGCTCCTCCTCACCAGGATAAACAGCAACCTCGTTGCTAACAAGTCCCGACACACCAATGTCCAGCACCACGACCGCCTCGGCCTCGTGTTCGCGCCAGTAGCGCTTCTGCGTCCTAGCAGAGGTGGGTTCATGACTCACCAAGGCTCCACTAGGAGAAGGGTGCGTAGCACCGAGTGTCTTCGGCTTTCAGTCGATCCATGGCCCATGGCGCTCCAGCCATGCCATGCCCAGGATAAGGTCATACCTCGAATCCAGGTCTAAGACCAAACAGCGTTCCACGCTATCGAAGTCTAAGAACTTCACAATAAGGTCAACAGAGACCTTCGACACCGTCACAAGTGTCCCCGTCGCAAGACGGATTGAGTATTCATCTCTCGTTCGCACTTCTAATGCCTCAGCATACAGCTGACTCCCATCCAGGTGCATAC